GGACCTGTTTCAGAGTTAACATCTTGAACGGCCGTCTCATAAGAGAGCGATTCAGATGTTTGAGATCTAGAATAGGTCTGAGCCCGCCTTCTTTCTTGGGCACGAGGAAGTAGCGGCTGAGAAAGCCTGACTCGTTGTTCGCTAGAGGTACCGCTTCCACAGCACCACAGCACCGAAGTCTGAATAACACCTCTGAAGCGAGGCGGCCTGCGAGCGAACTGAAGCGAGCAACCTCATTTTATTGTGCTAAGAACCCAGCTTGACACATCCGGAATGGCTGCCCAAGCCATGAACCGGGATGCAAGGGGTTCTAATTTTGCGAAGGAAAGTTCGCCGCGAAGGGGCGGGGAACTTGCGTTTGCAAGTGTAAGTGTGGGAAGAGGAAAATTGCTCTTTTGAGTATGTGGGTCCTGTAAGGTCAAAAATTATCAAAGACTTCTGCTTTCCTGTCCCAAACCTATCTTCAGTAACAAAAGGGCCATTTGGCGTTCCTGAAGGCACAGAAGTGCTGATATCGATCAAGGCCTGTAGGCCAACATGTGTATACATCGGGGGTCTTCTAATTGTCACACCTTTTGCCCAGTGGGTGAAGTTGTAATCTGCTGATTGGTCAGTTTGAATGTCTCACATTTGGTTTTTAGTCACATGGTCAAGGAAGGGATAAAAGAGGACTGTAACTGTTGCTCTGGCTCTTTTCCTTTGCTACCTCTTTTGCTTTGCTCTTTTCCTTTGCTACCTCTTTTGCTTTGCTCTTTCCTTTGCTGCCTCGGGTTCATTTTAATTAGATTATTCTTAACTTTTGTTCTTCTGTGTGTTTAGGTGTTCCTCATATCCAATGTGAATGAGCCACTGTCCAAGGGTCTCCTGGAGAAGGTTGCCCAGTTGACTGGCTGTGGACTCCAGTTTGGAGAGCAGCAGAATGGGTTTGAGATGGAGCAGCTGATGAAGGAGAAGAAACTGTGTTGGGATGAAGTGGCCTTCATGGGTGAGAATGTCATGTCAATATGATTAATAAAAAAATCCTAAATCTAATTTAAGCTTGGTTTGTCTACTGCATTTCAGCTCGTTTCAGTTTTCAAATGTTCTTTTTTTCCCCCCAAATATATGTATTGAAATTTTGCCCATATACAACAACTTGTATATATAAAAATGAAATAAACCTCAGTTCTGCTTCCCACTTTTCAAATCCCCCCCATCTCCTCTAACCCTAATATCCAACCACACAACCCATATAAGTGCAAATAATAACAATACTATAATTGTAACAGTTAAATAAACAATAGAATAAATTTGTGAAAAATTGTTAAAATTAGTTAATCCTCTTCTGAAATTTCAAGTGACAGTTCAATGGTTCAGTTTAACAAATGCTTCCAAGTTTTATGAGTTTTCAAAATTTCAAGTGATTCTTTCATCTGGTGCACTACTTATTTGACATTTCTAATTATTTATTTGAAAAGCATTAATCCAAAGTCAAAATTAATAAAAATAAATAATGCATAATATAAATAAAATTTTAAAAGAATGCTTGTTCCTTTGATTTTTTTCCCCAAAACACTGAAAATCCAAAATGTTGAGGATTTTTTTTATTTAGAAATGTTAACAATACAAAATGTTATGTAAAAGTACTTCCAAGTTAAAACATCAGAGTAAGAATAGGCATCACAAAAAAAGTTAAGTATTAATTTACTATCCATGTTTAAATGTTTTAGTGTTTGTGCTACTATGTTTAAATGTTTGTGTGAAAGATTTTCATTGGGGAAAAAATAGATTTATGTACTTCATGCAAATATATCAAAATATAACAAGCGATATGATATTTTAAAATATTTAAAATATTTGTTTCTACTAAAAAGTTTTTTTTTTATCTAAATCAGCCATATTTGAGATTATTTATAATGATTTATAAATAATGTATTCTATTCCTGAGCTCCTGAATATTAAAAAGAATTCAATTTCACTCTGCCTAGTATTGTAACTATACTTTTCACTTACATGTTAAAAGTAAACACAAACATAAATGGGAGCTCTTTTATTAATTAATAAAGCTGTGAGGTTTTGTAAACAAACCTGAAACCACTAGCGAGCCTGTAAAATAATCAGAATTTGTTGTGAGCAGCATGTGATATTTTCCCTCACAGGTTCCGAGTCTGAAGACAGAGAGATCTTGTCTCAGGTGGGGCTGAACGGCGTCCCGTGTGACTCAGTCGTGGCAGATCTCATCGCGGCGAAATACACGTGTCAGAGACCTGCCGGAAACGGAGCAGTTCGTGAGTTTGCCGAGTACATACTGATGCTGAAGAAAAAGAGCTTGTTGCAGGTGCTCCAGGAGCACATTGACAGGGCCAATTTCTAGATTCCAGTTCCTATTTCATATTTCTTTTAAACGGTCAGTTTGGGTTGCTGTGATCACATGACATTGAATCTAACTTAAGTTAATAAATCACCTGTGTGTGTCTGTGAGCAAAAGCTTCATTTATGTTGTCTCTTTACTTCAGGGGGTTTTAAACTTCTCCTGGAGTGTCCCCAGTCCTGCACATTTTGTATGTCTCCTTTATTGGACACACCCAAGTCAGGTCTTGCAGTCTGTACTAATGAGATGATGAGTTGAATCAGGTGTGTTAGATGAGGGAGAGGACTGGCGGGACTCCAGGAGAGGTTTGAGAACCCCTGCTTTACTTGATCTTTATATATTTACACGTTCTTTCAAATGCAATTTTCATTTACTTATCACCGATCATTATGTATTAATGTTTAATCTTATGCTGTCTCCTCACAATTTAGTAAGTGATGAAAGGATGTTAGTAACTGAAGTAAGGAATCATCCTCGTTTTAGTTGAATCAAGGATAGTGTTGTCCAGCAGAAGTTTTCCATTACCTTCACTTTGGTATAACAACACTTGATGAAATTTTGCAGATGAAGTCAAGAAAGACTAATTTAATTTAATGTGTAAGGTGTGATTCTGATTATTTATATGCATGTACTTGTCATATACTGTATATTAGGAAATTGATAATTTCAGCAATAATGCATTAAATTGCTCAGAAATCACAGTGAAGACATTTAGCCTATAATGCTACATAAGATTTATATTACAAATAAATGGTGTTCTTCAAACTGTTCTTCTGATCTTCTTATAATGTATAACTGTTATTTTTTTATTTGGTGAAGTTTCTGTAATACAGCTCCTGTATTGGTTAAACATCAAGTGTGATGAAGAGAAACATGCAAGAAATGTTTCAGTTTAATGTCCCGTAATTGCATTTTTACTAGTAAGAATTTGGTTAGAGGGAATTATTATTATTAAAAACACTATTATGGTGGGTTCAGGCCCATTCACACCAAGAATAAAAACGTCTCATGTTACTTATGTAACCATGGTTCCCTGAGTAGGGAATGAGACACTGCGTCCTCTAGGGGTCGCTATGGGGAATG